GTATAAAGTATTGCGTTTCAGGACATCACTGTTTTTAGGATGGTTTATTTGTGCAGAAAAGAACGCTTCAAGGTGCCAACGCTTCAGATTACATTTCCAGCTTCGGCCACATTTTCAGTTAATGACAAGCTTGAATAAAAACATTTGTAATAAATGCGGGGGGGAATGATGAATCAGCGTTTTATAGTACATTATTACTAAGAATGCACCAATTCTTACAGACGCGCCCGTGCTGTCAGATATGGCTCAGATGAAATGACTGATTCTGGAAGTGAGAGCGCGCAGCATGGAAGCTCATGTCAACGTAATCCTCCTCAATGAGGACTGACATTCGACTGACGTTGTAAATGACCGACGATTAACCCTTCCGGTCGCCTCTCAGAAAATACGTGCGGATTTCTTGTTGACGTGCGAGGAACAGATTCAAAGCGTCAAAACTAGGAGCACACTATTTTTAATCCAGTTGCTACTGTATATCTTGCAGTGAAAAGCTCATCCGGACAGGAGCCCATTTGGCCAGTCAGATTGCAGCATGTTTAAGCCATGCGCTGTGGGTGTGGTGCCTGAGACTGAAATTAATCTTGCGCCCTTCAGTGCAAAACTACAGATCAAGACATCAGACAGCAAACGTGTCTGTTAAAATTGGGATCAAGACGTCTAGACTTTTTTGGATTCCAGGTTCAGAAGCGTGTGTCCTGTTACACAGGAGTTCACCATGGATATGTTTTTCCGTCAAATGTGGGTGGACGAGAGGCTGGCGTTCGACGGTCCCATGGAGATCCTGCGCTTAAACAACCGCATGGTGGACAAGATTTGGACTCCAGACACTTATTTCCACAACTCGAAGAAATCCCTGGCTCACAACATGACCACGCCTAACAAGCTGTTCCGCATCATGCAGAACGGCACCGTGTTCTACACCATGAGGTACACTCATATAACGTGATAATCTCTTATAACTCAGGGATTGCGCTCATTTTCATCGTATACAATTTTCCATTTTCAGGCTGACCGTGAGTGCAGAGTGTCCCATGATGCTGATGGACTTTCCCATGGACAGTCATATTTGTCCTCTCAGCTTCGGAAGCTGTCAGTGTTTCAACCATAACACAGTCGTCATCCTTATTAGGGTTCTTCTTGATTTTTGACTTTTGCTGCCATTTTGTACCTCCATGCAGATGCTTACACCAGCAGTGAGATTGTTTACACGTGGAGGAAAGGCCTAGAGAAGTCTGTGGTCATCCCTCCAGAGTCCTCCAACTTACTGCAGTATGACCTCATCGGACAGACGCTCTTCAACAAAATGCCGACGCTCAATACAGGTAGCAATTGGTTAATACACATTTCTGAAAGTGGAATGCATAAGTATTGACCCCCTTTGAACTGGACTTAATTTCAAGACTCTATACAACAAGTATCCCTTAATATTGTAGTGTGTTTGTGTGTGCGATGGCGCGCGTGGGGTATAGTTGTGTGTGTGTGTGTGGGGGGGCAATCAGTGTAGTTTGTTACATTTTCTACAAATAAAGAAATCTAAAAATCTGTAATTGCAAAAGTATTCACCCCTTTGCTTTGAAACATCTAAATAAGTTTTAGTATAACCATTTGCCATTAGACGTCACATCATTGGTTGAATAGAGTGTAGGATATGTGAAAATAAAATGTGATATAATCTCAATATAAATATGTACACCAAAAGACTGTGCCTCTGTAATGAGATTTTTGGTTAGGAAGCAACCAAGAGTCCAAGATTATCTCAGTATGATGCTACCACCACCGTGCTTCACTGTGGGGATGATAACAATGGTGGCTGACATTGTGGCACAGCAGGTAGTGTTCTGCCGCACGGCTCCTTGGTCTCTGGTTTAATCCTATAGCGGTGTCTGTGGAGTTTCCGTTATTTGTCCTGTTGTGTCTGTCGGACACATGCTGGTAAGTGGATTGGCTAATCTAAATTGAATAAGTGTGTGAATGTGTGGGCGTGTGGTTCTCTCTGATGGACTAGCACCCCATTCAGAGTGGCGTGGAACTCACCTGTTCTATGGACAGGCTTCGGATCCATCGGCACCGTGTTCAGGATAAAGTGGTTGCTGAAAAGAACTGACTAAATGCGAACTCTCGACAGATTTGAAGTATTGTTGGACAGTATTTTGCCCCACTTTGGATAAAAGCATCTCCAAATGAGTTCATGCAAATATATTTGCCATACTGATGGTCAGCTGCTTCCCCGAGTTTCAGTCTAAGGTGCTTAAGTGGTCAGGGCTAATTCTTGCTGTCATCTGTCTTTAAAAAGAACACTGAAGGATAAAGCCTATTCCAGGCTCTGAGGCCATAGACCGCCTAGGAGTTGAGGATTTATAGATAGGCAAAAAGCAGCGTCTCCCTGCTGAGAAGCCATCAACATCACTGTGGCACAGAGAGAGGATCGGGCATGGGCCTAAAAGGCAGGACTGTGGCCTAGTTAACAAATCAGTAAGGGCATACAGAGCTCCGCTGTCCTTCTGATCTCCCCAGTGCGTCATTTGTTTTCTGTCCTCATAGGTTACTGAACTGATTTGAAGAAATGTAACGTCTCCATCTGTTGCATGGCATTAATATTTGCTTTTCAAACAATATATTTGGTCAAAATGTGGTCAGATATTGTCTGGAACCTCAGAATGTCCTTCAATGACTTCTAATTATAATCAATATAATGCTCAGTACAGCCAAAAGTAGATCATGCGCTCTTTAATATTTTAAATATATTAGTGTATAATATTCCATAAATTGCCAAAACTCTCCACTCCTTGTACTCTTGTACTGTCAGTATAAAAAGTCCAGCCTTAGATCGGACATCTCCTTCTCGTACCCTGTGCATTCTTGGACCGATCCCGCTCTCTTTCAGGCCAATATTCTGTCAAGATGGTTCATTTCTTCCTCCAGAGGAAGCTCGGCTATCATCTGATCCAAACGTATATCCCTCTCATCATGGTGGTTGTCCTGTCCCAAGTGTCCTTCTGGATCAACAAGGAGTCCGTGCCTGCTCGCACCGTGGCTGGTAGGAGAAACTTTTAGCTGCCTGGATGTGATTTAAAGAGCTTTTCTTTGTAAAAAGCCCATGAATCCTAATTCATCATTACTGACGTTATTCATGTGCACTTAGTGGAACATTAAGTTTCCTATGCCGGAAACACTGGATGGACACCCTGGATAGGACACCAGTCCATCACACACACACACACACACACACACACACACTCATTCACTCACACCGAGGGGAAATTTTGCGTCAGCAGTATGTCCTGGAGCATTTTAACAAAAAAAATAGAAAGTATGTCTATGCTGAGCAAACACTAATGACTGCAATGATAATTATGTGATGCATCATATTTTAAAAGGCTTTGGATTTAACATGGAACATTTAACCAGCTGTAGGATTACAGTGCCAGCTATTTCTATGTTTACAAATGATCCAACATTCTTAAGCAAAAAACGGTTCCTTAATGGTTCTTTCGATCATTAATGGTTTTAGTAGACGGAACCTTCAAGACCCTTTAAAGGGACGGAATAAATTCAGGTTTCTGTTGCAGAAATGTGCTGTTTCCTTCATTTTTTAAACTTTATGTACTTGGCTTTGTTTCTTTATGGACCTTCAAAACCACTTTTTTAAAAAAAATGTATATATATATATATTACAAAAATGTTGTAAATGTTGTTCAGATGAATTTGGCCCTGAGAGAAACAAGATGCGATAAAAGATGAAGAATGAAAAAAAAAATCTGAGCCAAAAAAAAAGGGTTTTATTTGTAAATTTAATCCAATCCAATTTAGTCTAATTTATAACCTCACCTGCCATCTGGAGGAGATCCAAAGAAGAAGATCCAAAGTACAGTTGAGGTCATACGTTCACATAACACATAACAAATGTTTACATAAAGTCCACAAGACACAATAATAACTGAATTTACACAAATGAACCAGTTTATATACGCTTGATTATTAATACCATGTGTCGTTACCTGGATGATCATCGACTGCGTTTATCTTTCTGTTCTGTCCGGCACATTCATTACTTTTCCTGCATATTTGACCCCTTTCCAGCAGCGACTGTATGATGCTGAGATCCATCTTTTACATAATAACAACAACAACTTCAAAATACCAGCAATTTACACCTATCCTCCTGTTCAAAAGTTTACACCCCCTGGCTCCCCCCCACAGCTAGCTAAGATTTTTTGTTGCTAATGTGCAACCTTAACAACTGACCAAATGGGTTATTAACTCTATTTATCAGAGGTTTTAAGGGTGCCAATGTTCAGCGTGATGTCACACTCCACAGTAGTGGTTAATGGCTCATATCAAAAGTAGACACTCAGGGCTTTAAGAATTTGGAGTTTATTATTATTATTATTATTTATTTTTACCTAATCTACTAGGTTTAAATGTTATAATTATATTGTGGCGGTTGTATAGAGTGTATTGGTAATTTAAAGCTGTAGTTGTGCTGTCTGTTTTTATCTCTGTACCGGTGTTACTGTGGGGATTTGTGAATTGTTTGGCCAGTATGAGGCTCACAACCTTCCCCTTCCCCATCGCCCTGCTCACCAGCAGTGAAATACTAAGGCCCTATTTACACTAGTGCGTTTTGGTTTTAAAATCCTCGTCCACACTGGCGTTTCCATTGTGTTTCAGAAACAATCTCTGTCCACACTACACGACCGAATCCGCATGTCACATGACCATTCATGCGCATACAAGTGTAAACAGGAAGTTGGTTGCTAGGCACAACAAACCGGCGTTCCATGTCGGGCTTACGCCGCTTGAAATGAGATTTGTTGCCGATTGCTCTAATCATAATGATAATGATGATGAGTCTTTATTGCTCATGTGTACATTACAGCACAGTGAAATTCGTTCCTTTGTATACTCCAGCATGCCAGGAAGTTGGGGTCAGACATGATATAGCAAATCTGGAGCAGAGAAGGTTAAGGTCCTTGCTCAAGGGCCCAACAGTGGCAACTTGGCAGTGCTGGGGTTTGAACTCCTGATCAGTAATCCAGAGCCTTAACCACTAAGCCACCACTGCCCCAATTATAGCTCACCTCTAGCGCATGTAGGCAGCTGCAGTATTATAAAATACAGAATTTGACGGCACAATGGCTTCTACGAATGACAACGAAGCCAGCAGTTCAGTCTCCATGTTGTTGTGTTTAAGATGAATGTTGCGTAACGGTCATGTGATAGGAGCTTGATGAATCAGGGAAGGATATGAAATGATTCAGAAGATCCAATCAGGAGGCGAATGTGGGCGAAGCCACGCCTTTGTTTTCAAAAGTCTTCGTTTTGGTCCGTTTACATTGAAACGCGAGCTCGGAGTTTTCAAGCTAAAACGGGGTCTTCGGCATTTCCAAAAGTCTCCGAAAAACAAAAACGCACCAGTGTAAACAGAACCTGAGTCACGATACTCTACACACAGAAACCCAACAGTGTCCTGACTATCCTTATTGTGATAAAATTTGCAGTGGCTTGCAGTGATAAAATCATTCATTTGTTTATACTGAGTGAAAATGTCCGATAAATTGATTTCCATTGGGCGCAATTGGAGGGGTGCACGGTAGCTTAGTGGTTAGCACGTTCGCCTCACACCTCCAGGGTCTTGGGTTCGATTCCCGCCGGGGCCATGTGTGTGCGGAGTCTGCATGTTCTCCCCATGCTGTGGGGGTTTCCTCCGGGTACTCCGGTTTCCTCCCCCAGTCCAAAGACATGCATGTTAGGTTGATTGGCAGGTTGGTAAATTGTCCATAGTGTATGAATGGGTGTGTGAGTGTGTATGTGATTGTGCCTTGCGATGGACTGGCACCCTGTGTACCCTGCCTTGTGCCCGATGGGTGTCAGGGTGTACCCCGCCTTGTGCCCGATGCTTCCTGGGATAGGCTCCAGGTTCCCTGTGACCCTGAAGCAGGAATAAGCGGTTGAAGATGGATGGATGGATGAACACCATTGGACTGTGAGAAAGGGTTCAATTTCAGCTAACCAGCAAGCAAATTCTAGGTTTTTTGGAGTTAGCAGAATATTTTCCTTACGACTTAGCGAACTAGTTAGTCATGCAAGGTTGGGTGTAATGAACATGTGATTATTTTAACTGATGAAAAGAACTGAACATCAGTTACAAATCACAGTAGGTTTACTTTTTACTCTTGAATACCTGAGTGTGTTTAAATGTAGATAGTTTCTCTGTAGATACAGTTTATCTGTACTTTGTCCACCTCTGGTTAAAATAAACATAACAGTTGGACTGCCCTGGAATCAGAGGAGATGCTAAGACATGAGTTAAATGCTTAAATCGTTTAAATAAACATTAAAAAAAAAACAACATATGGTAAAATTATATTCTCTATATAATTTAATACAGTCTGACTTTTTCCATCATTACCATGATTGGAAAAGAGGCAGATTGTTAGTAGCAAAGAACTTGTTAGGTAATGTGAGTATGCTAGCTAGATTTAACACTTGGAAACAGGTCTACAGAATTTGGGTACATCCTGTTCACTTCCACTCTGATCTGCAGGAGTCACCACCGTCCTCACCATGACCACACTGAGCATCAGCGCACGCTCTTCCCTGCCCAAAGTGGCCTACGCCACAGCAATGGACTGGTTCATTGCCGTCTGCTTCGCCTTCGTGGCCTCGGCCCTGGTCGAGTTCGCCGCCGTCAACTACTTCGCCACGCTGGAAGCCAACAAGATGAGACGTCGACTCTCGAGAGCTTCTGTGCTGGAGTACATCGCTGAGGGGAGCGACGATGAAGACGAGTCGGTAAACACTGCAGTCCCGTACTAATGTTGTATCATACTGAGAAATGATAACTAGTGCTTCTCTGTAGATACAGTTTATCTGTACTTTGTCCACCTCTGGTTATTCTGGTCAATATTAGGTTTTTAAATGTACCTGTACATCTGAACGATGGCAGTCATTTGAACACACCATCGCCTTTGGGAATCATTTTACAACTCATCCACTGCGCGGTAATAGAATAAGTAAACAGGTGGCAGGAACCGTGGTGTTAATAGTGGTTTAGATCTTTCACTACTCAGAACTGAGAGGAAGAACGTCAAGATGCACACAAATCCTGTAACTCTGACTTGCTACTACTCCCTGGATGATTTTTAAAAGCTTCACACACACACTAGACTAACACACACTGACAGAGGCAGATGTGAAAGCAATAATTCAATTTATTTATAAAGCTCGCAGCTCATATTGCCAGAGAACAGCTTCATAGACATCTGGGCTTGAACCCCTCGTGAGCGATCCAAAGGTTATTGTAGCGGGGCAACAGCGTTCTGGCGCAGGCGTAAGAAGGAGCACGAAGACGAGCCAACTTTCGCAAGGAGGTGGCTGCCTTCTGGCCCACCATTTGTTTGTTTGTGAACTGTGCCACATGGTAGGCCCCAGAGTCGTGTCAAGTGTGCTGCATAGGAAAACGAACAGCAGAAATTAATTTACTGGATGATTTGCAAGACCCTCCTCGATGCATTGTAACAGGCTGAGCACATCTGCGATTCTTATCTGCAGCCCTGAGCTGGATGTGCTAATAGCACAAGCATGTGCTGTCTCCAGAGAACGTCGCCTGTGTGACCGGCTCACGCCTGGTGTTTTAAAAATAGCGACCATATTAGAACTACGCTGCATGACTATTGTGTAATCTCTCCTACCTGAGATGCTACTCTATGACTCCCCTGTTCCTGCTCTCTGACGCATTCTGGAGGAGGAAAAGGGGTGTGTATGTGTAATGCGGCCTCAGACGCTGTATTTATTTTGACTGTTCTGTTCTAGATCTTTCCATTGCTCAGGTCATTGTTTCAAAGTTGGTAGCGATATTTAATTGTAGCACCAACATTCATGGTCATGAAGACCCAAAGGGTCTTTCTATACTTAGCGGTCTTAATAGAAAGTAAGAGAGAAGGTGGGAGTGTACGCTACTAATCACAAGTTTATTTATTTATTAAGCATTATGGTCGAAATTGGATTCTAAGACCAATTTAAATACTAAACCTAATGCCCATGTATACGTTTATCTCTGAAACAAAGTGTATACAGTGGGGGGAAATAAGTATTGGACGCGTCAGCATTTTTTACAGTAAATATATTTCCAGTGAGGTTATTCGAATGAAAATTTCACAAGACATCAGTATTAATTCAAGAAATTCTGAAATATAAAGAATTCATAACATTAAAGTCCATAAATGAAGTTATGTGTAATAAAGTGGAATGACACGGGAAAAAAGTGTTGTACACGCTAAGAAAAAGAAGTTCTCCAAGGCAAGGAACCAGCTGAAATCCGTAAGAACATTAATATCAGCTGGGTTAGTAAATTGATGGTCTATAAAAAGGGTTTTTGTTACCAAGGTGTCACTCAAGAAACATCTCATGATGGGTAAAAGCACTGTATTAAATAAGTAGGGTTTTATTTTTTATATATATATATAGTAGAGGCATGTAACAAGTCAATTTCATTTAGAGCTTAGGAGAAGCAGTGAGGATCTCAGTGTATATGAGATCATGAATCTGGTTGAAAAGATGCCAAGAGTATGTAAAGATACATTTTCTTGGTCACTACATAACATTGTTTATGCAGGTTTATATTGTTAATATTAATTTCAACAGGTCTATCACGAATCGTACGCAGGTGGGTGTACGACAGCACAAGGTTAATCTGTATTCAAATCTTAAATTAAATACAACTGAATATAACATGCAGTAGGTCAAACGGTCATGCAAACAGAGCAATAAAGAAGAAGAAGAAAGAAAAAAAAACGTTCAAGAGCAAAAAAGGTCAAAACCTGGGAAACAGTTGGGAAATAATGCTCAGACAGAAAACCTCGCAAATTGAACGAGCAGTTTTTAAATAAGCCAAATGCTTGCAAGAACTACAGAAAGCAGGTGTAGTAGAAATCAGGTGAGTGTGAGTGTCGTAATGCTTGGGAGTGTTAATGTTTTCATTATTACTCTAAAATACAAGAAAATATTTAAAGTCAATAACCCAGTTTATGTCCATGGGTGTACATACTTTTGACGTCCTTTTAAATGCCATTCTGTAACCACATAAGCAGCTGTTTCACAGAACACGCTAGAAATTTTCCTCCAAGGTCCCTGTAGCGCCAACAAATAATAGCTGGCGAAATGCTCAATTCTCGAAAGTGCTACACAAATAAATTTGAATTGAATTGTTACTTAAATGAATGGAATTTATTTTTTAATTGAATAAACATAAGCAAAGTGTTTCAGATTGCTTGAAAGTAGCCTGTGTTGATAAGAAAAAATGCTAATTGTTGCCATCATAGCCACATTACAGTACTTCTGACTAGCCTATTGCTAACCGGCTTACATTAATGCTACCAACAATAGAAACAGTGTAACATTGACAACAGCGGAATTTAATTATATAATCTGCATGAAGACACGCTGAAAAAAACCCCCAACAACTAACAATAGACAGCGTCTGTACAAATTAATACACAGATTCAGTTTAATTTAGTACAATATATAAGGAATAAACCTTCTGAGTGTAGTATAAAAGGACATATTGGCTCAAAGCATCTGTCCAACCTACAATCCTAACTGCACATCTTACCCCTTAAAGAAGTCATAAGTAGTGATTGTTGACATGTTTTGAGAGGATTTCTTTGATTCTCAATAACCCTAGAATCATACTCAGTATAAATATATGACAAATGTATGTACATATTATAAACTAGCTAATGGTTAAAGCACAAGACACCTGGTCATAGTAAAATTCAGTCAATGGCCAATTGCACAAAATTTATGCTGATAAAGTTATTGTGACATACAGTTAAGAAGAGCAAAGGTCCATGTGCTTATTGAAATCAAATTCAAAATGTAAAGTTGTTAGGCAGGCAGCGGTCAAACACAGTAATGAGACATATCATCAAATGAAAGGGCAAACCGAAGAGTAGTAAAACACTGAGTACAGTACGGGGGGAAAAAAACAAAGCATGGCTCACAACTTGAGAGAATGGTAAAGCTTTGCAACATTGAATGGATGTGCTTAAATTGTGCGAACCAG